ATACGTATGTATACCCCTAAACCTAGCATGTGACTATTTGAGTCTTTACGAATTAAAGGATAGTACCCATCAACACTGACATCTGAAGAAGGAATTGCAGAACTTAAATTTGTTTCACTAAGTGCAAGCAAGTCTGGTGAATTTTGCAGGAGGTAAGACTCAACTGATGGAAAGTTGCTTTGTAGACCGCGAATATTTTTAAAAGATATATTAAAATATTTACGTGGTGGGGATGGTTTTTTAGGTTTTAAATTTTTGGTTACTTTGGTCATGATTGGGTTTAATGAGAACTTGACTCATTCATAGATAGAGCACAGCCTCCTAATCAATGAGCTATGCAGTTGTCTCAGTCCGGGTAATTAACACTAAGCCGTGACATAGAGCTCCTTATGAGGCCTTGACAATGCACACCAAAAGCATTAACAGGGACACCATCCATGGGCAACATGGCACTGTTAATATTCTGATATTTTGCAGCTGTTGATGGAATCAGTCTCTCTGAGAGCTACCACAGAGTTCGGGAAACCTTACTACCAGCCGGCCTCAGAACCATTAAACTGAGTTTTAGAGCTGTACCCTCATATGGAGATAACAGGAAGAGTTGCATAGCCATTATCAAGGAGGCATAAGCAAAATTCTATGAGTAGTGTCAAGGAGATCCAGCATTCATCATCGTAGGCAGGAAACAATGTAACACAGGTTACATCTACCCCAGCCTAATAGATGAAGAAGGGGTTCAAGGCTGGTTAGCAGAATTTTTCTGCTTACCCCTCAAGTCTTTGCCTAGGAGGCCTTCTACAAGACAGTAGCTGGATGCAGTTAACATCTGCCCAAGATGAGTGTTTTTATCGAGACACCATCTCTAGCCTTTACTCAACCAAGAGCCGCAAGGCAGGGGAATTTTTAGTTGGAGTTTATTTCTCCTAGCCTTTGCCTATGAAGAGCACACTCTGCAAGGCAGCAGGGCTTGTGGCAGGTGGTACTGGGTTACGTGATACCAGTAGCAAGATTGGTCTCGATTATCCTGACCTGACCTGGAGTAGTTAAATGGAGTTACTTCCTGCAACAGTACTTTGAGAAAACCAGGCATGATCTTTTGGAAGTGCATTAGGAAAACACTGCATCCAACAAAATACAGGAGTCTAAGGTGAGTGTAGGTTTTGTAGTTGGAGTAAGTAGTTAGTTACTGAGCTCACGCTGCATTAGAGTATAAACAGAACACAAACAAACATAAATCAACTTACGGGTGAGTCAACACCGCGCCAGAGGTTCAGACTGAACACAAACATACATAAAAAAACATAAAAAAACATAAACATAAACATAAAGTAACTTACGGGTGAGCGAACACCGCGCCAGAGGTTCAGACAGAACACAGACATACATAAAGAACATAAAGTAACTTACGGGTGAGCGAACACCGCGCCAGAGGTTCAGACAGAACACAAACATACATATAACGTAGATTACAGGTGAGCTAATACAGTAACTAAGGCACCTCCAACTATATATAAAAAAAAAATAAAAAAAATTTACTATAGGCATACTGATATTAGATAGTACTGATGACAGGAAGAACACTCCTTCCAGCCTTTGCTTAGAAAGCAAATCCTGCAAGGCAGCAGAATATGGAACAGGTTGCACTGGGTTACATGTTACCAGTAGCAGGATGATCATGAAGACCATACTCCTGACCTTTTTATATTTAAAATCAGCTAATATTGCTTGTTACTCTTTTGGGTTTGTTATTCTTTTTTTTCAATAATATATATTTTTTTTCTAAATAAAGCTTTTCATTTTAAAAATTTGCCAAGATTGCTTGTGGGTTTTTATATATTTTTTTTAGATCTTTTAAAAAAATTAATTAATATATCGGAACTTTTAGTAAAGACTAAAAAGTAGAAAATAAAATATAGCAAAAACATTTTCTCAAAAATATAATCTTTTTCTTATTAAAAAGTAGAAAATAAACAGGTATGTTTCTATATAAACCTTGCACAGATCTGTCAATCTTTAGTTTACTGAACTATTAAATTTAAATTAAAGTTTATTTTCTACTTTTTAATAAGAAAAAGATTATATTTTTGAGCAAATGTTTTTGCTATATTTTATTAGTTACAAAATACAATGTATTTTTGTGCGCTACAATAGTAAATATATCTAACTTATACATAAGAGAAATAAGTTTATAAATCATCTTATTAAACCTAAAAAAAATTCAATCCATTAATATAAATATGTTTACTTAACAGACTTGCAGGTTTACAACAGTTTTCCATTGGTGCAATAGCAGCTATTGGTTGAGGGTACAACTCTAAAACTCAGTTTTATTTTCAGGTAGCTCTCAAAGAGGCAAAAACTTTCCATCAAAATCTCGAAACTATCAGAGTACTAACAATGCTATGTTGCATGGTGTCCCTGTTCATACTTTTGGTGTGTAATGTTGAGGCCGCATTTGGAGCCCTTTGTTAGGGTTTGTTAAAAGTATTGAGGCAATTGCTTGGACTATTAAATAGTGTGCTGAGTACTATCTGTGCTTTGAGTCAAGTTCTTTAACAAATCTAAAAATGACTAAAGTACCAAAAACTATAGAATACAAAAAACCTTTGTCGTCACTAAGCTCTCTAAATCTACCACTCACTAATATTCGTGATCTTCGAAGTATTTTTTATTTTGAGTCTTATTTCTTGCAAAATTTACCAGACCTACTTGCTCTTTGTGAGACTAATTTGAGTTCAGCTGTCTCATCTTGTGATCTTAGTGTTGATGGTTATCTTTTTTTATCGTTTTATTGTTATCTTTAATTTGTAAAGGCTTCAGTAGTCACATGTTTAACCTGGGCATTCACATTTACTCTATCACTTTTCTCTTTGTTCTATATTGTTCTCCTTCCTCTCAAGACTGCAATCTTTTGGATGTTATTTCTGATCTAATTGAACAAGCCCTTTCTCTTTATCCTTCAGCCAATATCATTGTTGTTGGTGACTGTTATGCTTATCACACTCAATGATTTGGTTAATAATAATCTTAGGTCACAAAATCTTGTATTTCATTCTTAAAAATTCGTCACCTAAGACTTCTGGAGAATCTTTAACAGTGGGCAAATCTTTTATTCCACCTCTCTTGCAAGGTTCACATTTTGTTACCTTACCTAAAGACAAAGCTTAATTGTTTGCTAAGATCTCATCTCTTGATTCAACTAATCACATCCTACTGTATACAGCCAATAAACAGGTTGATCCAAGCATAGTTTTTGAGTCTTTAATTAACAAATATCTAATCTCTCATTTTGAATCTATTAACTTTCTGATCATCAATATGGGTTTTGATATACTTATTCTACTGTTGATTTGTTAATAGTGATAACCAATAGGTTTTATAGTGTCTTATATAGATGTAAAGAGGTTTGAGCTATCGTTCTTGACATTTCTAAAGCCTTTGATAAAGTTTGGCATGCTGGTCTTTTTCATAAGCATTCTTCTTACGGTGTACCGGGTAACATCTTTAAGAATATTGAATCAATCCTTACCAATCATAGTATAAAATTTGTCCATGATGGACAGCACTCTTTTTCATTTCTTTCAACTTCAGGAGTACCTCAAGGTTCTATCCCTGGCCTTTTTTTTTTTTTACTTTTTTTAAATTACATTAATGGTTTCCCAGAATTTTTTACATCTAAGGTGGCATTATTTGCTGATGATACTACCATTTACTCTTGTCTTGATAAAAAGCCAATGCTCTCTGATTGCTTACAGAACGCATTTGAGCTTCAAAAGGGTCTCACTTCTGCTATAGCATGGTGTTCTTAGTAACACGTGAACTTTAACTTAGATAAAATTTAATTTTTTTTTTCAGGCAATCTTTATTTCAATAATCTAGATCTTCCTATATTTGTGAATCGTAATGTACTCGTAATGTACTCAATCAGTTTTTTTAGAAACATTACATATAATCCATTGCAAAATCAGCATCTGCTAAGGTTGCATCTTTTTATTGTGCTCACCACTTCCTTACTCTAGATTCAAATTAATTTTTATTAGTAGTTAATTGAAATCTTTACCAATGAATATATCTAGTTTGTTATTACACATATTTATGAATCGTAATGTACTTGTAATGTACTCAATCAATTTTTTTAGAAACAATATATATAATCCATTGCAAAATCAGCATCTGCTAAGGTTGCATCTTTTTATTGTGCTCACCACTTCCTTACTCTAGATTCTATTTTATATCTTTATAAATCTCAAATAAATAAAAAAATTTAAGTTTTTATTTATTTTAAGTCTGTTAATTGTTATCTTGCTTTATGAACTTCATCTTTTCTCTTTTAGTAACTTACAACACTAATAGTAGTTGCTTGCAGTCATCTTGGAAGTGGAGATGTCAGGCAATAGCTGCTGCTAATAATTACTTGTTCTATAATTATAATATTGTTATATAATTACTTTGTAATTGTTTGTTCTATAATGTCTGACATTTTGCGAAAAATCAGCTAATCTTTTTGAAGCCTGCATTATAGTCAGCAGTTGCAAAGTCATGATGTTGCAACCATGATGCTATAAAATTCATTAAGTTATAAACACATTGCTGATAGAGGGGCAGGTGGTATTTAAGATCTGATGTTGAATTAGTTTAAGAATGTTGCTAACGTACACTAACTCCATTTCTTGCTATTCGCTAACAGTTTCAGTTTCTTCAGATGCATATACTGTATTAGGGTTGCTAACTAGCTTTTATAAATACAGGCTAAATGCATTACAATTTTTTTTCCCATTATCAGTTGAAATATTTGTGGTTTTTTTCCTTTTTATAATGCTAAATTCTGAAAATTGTGGACAGTTTGTAATATGTTTTAAGTATGACCCAAATCATATTAGGAGTTATAAAGTACTCTTTTATTGACAGCGTTGACATGACAGTACTTTATTATTTATTATTTTCAGTTATATTTTTTAATTTGAACTGAAAAATTCTTTCTTTTTTTGTTGTCGTTCTAGTAACTGATGTAAACTGCCAACCTTTACTTGATGTAATATTAAATGGAACATTGCTTGAGTAAGTATAATTTTTGAAATAATAAATTACAATAAAAAATAATAAATAATAATAAAAACAGTCTGTAATCTTGAAACAGTTTACTACTTAAAGTTAGCTACTTTAAAAACGATCTTAAAAATAGAAATTTATTTTATATTCAATTTTTATAAACAGAACAATATTAAATATCACACTTCAAATCAACTATGCATATGAATCTGGTGAGCAAGCTGTTGGCGTAACATGGGAGTTCATTTTACCTTTCTTTTTACAGCTTCAGTCTGAGCCAATTACAGAAGATTACATAAGAGTTAACTCAAGTAACCTAATGTTTATGGTAAAATAAGATTATTTTATTTTTTTGTTTAGAATATACTAACAAAAACAAGAAATGTACAACAAATATACAAAGGAATATTGACTATATTAAATAAACAAAAACACTTAAACAAAAATAAAAAATAATATTTGGAACAAGTGTCACTAAAATATTTATTTCAAATATTAAGTTTAAGTCAAATAAAATTGGCAGAAAAAATTTACTTAATTTTTTAAAATTCCTAATAATTGTAACTGACCAGTTTGTTTTACAACAGCAATAATAATATTAATGAAATTAGAGAATAACTTTAAATTTACATATAATTAAACATTTACATATAATTAAACAAATAACAAGTGCATGTAAATAAAATTTAATGGATTTTTATATTATTATAAATTAGTTTAATTTCTTTCTAATAATGTTAAAAGTTATTCAAAAGAAGTTTATTAGAATTTTTATTATCATACTATTAATTATAATTTATCTAATTTAATACTATTAATATAATTTTCAGAAAAACAGTAAATACATAATTTCTATATATATATATATATATATATATATATATATATATATATATATATATATATATATATATATATATATATATATATATATATATATATATATATATATATATATATATATATATATATATATATATATATATATATATATATATATATATATATATATATATATATATATATATATATATATATATATATATATATATATATATATATATATATATATATATATATATATATATATATATATATACTCTTGCATGGTAGTCAGAAAGAGTTTCCCATAAACTGTAGTTTTAAAGAGCGCATTAATAAACCAGACCAGAAAAAGTTTAAAAACTTAAATTTTTTTTTTTTAAATGATAGACTGCCTGCCCAAACCAAACCCTTAGTCGATGTAGCAGCACTCCCTTGCGAGTCAGGCTATTTTTCAGTCGTTGTAGCAGCACTCCCTTGCGAGTCAGGCTATAAGATAGTCGATGTAGAAACACTCCCTTGTAGCAGCAGGCTATAAGATAGTCGATGTAGCAACATTTACGCATGTTTTAAAAATGTTTTTTAATAAAACAAAAACCAAAACACCACTAATTAAAAAAAACTTTCTAGTCATTATTATTGCGGTTTTTTAAAAAATTTTTAAAAAACAATAAAATTTAATGTACTTCCGCATTAATTTAATTGTTTTGACATTTCGACGACAATCAAATACAGCTTAAGAGACACTATAAGGATATATATATATATATATATATATATATATATATATATATATATATATATATATATATATATATATATATATATATATATGTATATATGTAACTGTATGGCCTAACTGCCAACCTAGAAGTGTTTGAGGTGGACAAAAAATCCCCAACCTCATTTCTGATGCCGAACTCACTCAGATTTAGGTTGGCAAACTATTGCTGACCATATTTTTCCTAATTACAGGGGCTATATATATATATATATATATATATATATATATATATATATATATATATATATATATATATATATATATATATATATATATATATATATATATATATATATATATATATATATATATATATATATATATAGATATATATATATATATATATATATATATATATATATATGTATATATATATGTATGTATATATATATATATATATATATATATTTATATATTGATATATTATATATATTATATATATATATTTATATATTGATATATTATATATATATATATATATATATATATATATATATATATATATATATATATATATATATATATATATATATATATATATATATATATTTAAAAATTTATGTTTGTTTGTACTAAAAATTATGAAGACTAAATTTTAAAATATTTAATTTAAAGACTTAATTTAAAAATATTTTTTAAGATGTTCAGATAATTGTTGTCATTATTTTTTGTCTAAAATCAAAAGACCTTGGATTAAAACTATATTTGATGTGTTTTAAGTTTAATTTAAAAAATTTTAATATGCATTAGTCCTATTCCAACTTAAACAAAAATGCAAAAAGGGTTTGACTAAAAAAAGGATTTGACTAAAAAAAAGTGATTATCAGATTAACACAATAAAATAATCAGCAATATTGTAATATGATATGCCTAGCTCAGACTATTGTAAGCCTGAGAACTAAGTTAAAAAAGATATCAAAGAATTTTATAAAATGGATAGAAATGTTGGTAAAAAACCACCATTTTTATTTGTCTTGGTTAATGTTTTTTCTTACCAAATTATTGACAATTGGGCTTGATAAGCATCAAGTTAAAGACTGTCTCTCACTTCCACCCATCTATTAGTATACTCTATTATGCTTTAAAGGTAAAAAAAATGCTGCAAGTTTGATTTTCTAAATGACTGTTTAGAACAGTCTATAGGTATGATAAGATGATGAAACTGAAAAACACAACAGATTGCTTACAGTAGAGAAAGTTGGATCTATATGCTAAAACATAAATCCAGTACTTCAGTTTCAAAATATACTTTTTTTGACAACCCCTAATCAATATACACACACACATTATTTTTTTTCATACTTTATTTATAGTTTTGTTAAACCTACAAGTACACAATATAGTTTTTCATAAAAAGAACTGATTTTTATTAATTTTTGCATTTAAGTTGTTTTAAGTAAATGGTTCTTTAATGAAATTAATGAACAAATAAAATTTTAGCAAATATTATAAAATAATAGTTTAAAATCTACTCTATCATAATAAATTTTATTATGTTGAACTACCTTGAATCTTTTTATTCCGTCAGCTTTATAATAAATTTTATTATGTTGAACTAACTACCTAGAATCTTTTAACTCCATCAGCTTTATAATAAATTTTATTATGTTGAACTAACTACATTTGAAAAAAAACTCAAAACAGTGACCATATAAAAGATTAAAATGTGAAGGACTAATTATAAGTTTAAAATGGGGTTCTAAGTTGGATTTCAAACAAAACAATTTTTTTTTGAAACATTAAAAATATAAGGACATGTTTTTAGTTATTATTTACAACTTAGTTAATTACTATCCAGTCATAGATAAAACCTCTATTTAAATATTGAAAAACTTTGCTGCGTTCAGTAAAATAATGTATTTTTGTTATTTTATTAGATTCCGAATGTACTAAAATTTGCTGGAGTGAAAAGTGTTATTACAACAGTTCTTAATGCAAGCTGTGCAACCAATACACAATCATCTATCATCGAAATTCAAGTAAAGTTATACTTTCAAAATGCAGCAGGACATATATGGACAAAAAATAAATCAATGGAGTTAGATATATTCAAAAGCTGCAAATTTTTTCGAACATTTCAAACAGATGTCTATCAACTCGATTATCAAATTGGTAAGCTAAAAAGGGTTTTTATTCAAATTAATTTTTATTAGAAGTTAATTGAAATCTTCACCAATGAATATATCTAGTTTTTTATTATACATATTGATTGTCTTTGAGTTGCATAATTTGTCATTTAAGCATAGATTTACAAAAAAAAGTATGTTTTTTAGTAAACTTGTCAAGAAACAAGTTAAACAACTGGGTGGTTACATGGTGGTTTGTAGAAAAGTAGAAGTAGTAGCATAGAAGTTTTTGACTTTTTGCAAAAGAAAAACTTCACACAAAAAAAGTTATAAAAAACTATTATTTATGCTTTATTAATTAATGTTAATAATGCATTTTATTAATTAATGCTAATAATGCATTATTAATTGCAATATTTATGCATATTTGCAATATAATGCAATATAATGCAATATTAATGCATATTAATAATGTTAATAATGCATTTTATTAATTAATGTTAATAATGTACTTTATTAATAAATGTTAATAATGTATTTGTAACATTAAAATAGATTTATTTACATAATTATATTTTTACATTTTAATATAGGTTTTACTTTATTTTATTACTGACATTTTTAATTTAGTAATTTAGGCTTTAAATTTTAGAACATTTTAGTTAGGTACATAAAAAAAACAACATAATATTATTAATTTAATAAAACATTTTCAATATGGATTGTTAAATAAAAAATATATATATAAAACTGAGTATACACTTTATATTAAATGGCTCGTTCAAATCGATATTTCAAATTAATTTTGAAATATATAGATATAGATTTAACAGACAATTAAAAATTGTCTATTTATTTGATTTTGATATAAATATATTTTCAAAGATATGTTTAGATATTTTCAAAGGTTCATTTTAACTCATATTCAAATAAATTTTTTAATGAATATCAATACAAATATAAATACAATATAGTGTATTACAATAGGTTTTTTGGAATGACTAACAATATTATTATGATGGCAAACAAGGTCAGGTTTGGTTTAGGTACATTGTGATCACGCTGCTACTAAAAAAAAATAAAATCCCATACCATCTTCCGCATGTTGTGCTGCCTCGGATTTCCCTTTTCTAATCAAAGACTAAGAGAATGAAATTCTGTCTTGAAATACCTAGCTCTAAGTTGGGTAGAAATTGTTAGACATCTAAAACACTTAAGCTTCCATTACTTAAGTTATTTCTCCCTTAAACTTTTTTATTGCTTGTGGTCCAGACAACATTCCTATCATATTCTTACAAAAGTGTTATCTCTCCACAATACTTTCCACAAACTTCAAGCTACTCATCTTGAGTATAATAACTTACTTTCTCCAGCAAACAAAAAGGAATTTGAACTTCAGCTAACTTGTTAACTGTTATAACAGAAAGGTTCTATCATGCATTAGGTGGAGGCACCAAGGCAATTGCTCTTGGCACATCAAAAGTTTTCAGTAAAGTCTGGCATGCTAGGCTTCAAAAAAACTCTCTTTATATGGTGTATCTGCGAAAGTTTTAAGAATTGTTAAATTGTTCTTTTCTAATCTCAGTATTTTTCTATTTGATTTATATTATATTTATTTATATTTTGATTCTATTTCATTTGATCTTGAGTATGATCTCTATTCTGTGAGAGCTTAGGGCTTGCTGTGGTTGGTAAATTTTAATCCAAACGAAACTCAGTTGTTTAAAATTTAGATTTTAAAGATTAAAATTCACCAATAATTGTTATTGGACTGCCAATAATTACAGCAAGTTTGTTGATATTCCTTCATTAATAAATGGTAAGTCAATGGTAGGTCCTCTACTGGCTTCTCAGATTATCACTTACTACTGACCTCTCATGGAAATTATATAAACAGTTCATTGCACTTTTTAAAACTTTTTTTTTCAATATTATATAGAAGAAAAAAAAATGTTATAAAAAGTGGGTATTTATTCTCAGTTTCAAAATTACGTAAAATCTATAACATGTTGTATAATAAAAAATGTCTATTATGTTAACCTTTATTTACATAAATATAGAAGTATTTTTTTTAATAGTTTGACTTAAATAAAATAATTTATAAGGAAATGTTGATTGCATTAGATTCTAACAGTTAGATTCTGATGCGTTAGAAACTAATTTCAAAAGGTTAAAAACTATCGAAATTAGGACACTGCCCGACATGTATGTTCATGCCAGAAGTGAAATATTATCTAGTAAAATTTATATAAATTAATAATAAATAATTTATGACACTATAAAAAAAAATTATAATAGTAAAAAGTACAGAAATATACCTAAATCCAAGAAAGACATTGCTCCCATATAAACAATTCCCTATAAAAAAAACTAACATATTAAATATAAGTTAGTTATATAAGTAAATATAATTGTTGTGCTTATGAAATATTTATCTATGCTCTGTAAATTGTAAAAATGTAATTCAAATTTTTCTGAAAACAGGTCATAAAAGTTGTCTGACTTGTCTTGTCTAACGAGTTTTCAAATAAAAAAAAATTTTTTTTTATACAGTCACTCATCTATATAATTAATTTATTTCTTATGCGTCCTTTGTGTAAGCCAAAAAAATGCAAAATAAGCTTCCAACTTTCAATGGTGACTAAATATCCAATATGGCAGCCACATAAAACTGCCTACCCTATACTAATATATTAAAATGAACATATAAATAAAAAGACATCATTGACTTTTATCGACAATGGTAAATGTCATTAATGATGCATAATTTTTCTTTGCAATTAGTCTAGATTTGCTGCAACATAATCTAATAAACAACTTTAAACTGATAAAAACAACTAATAATGTTATTGTTTACAGGCTTGGTCGGGAAGTGGGTGCGATCCCACTCGATAACTGACCGCAGAAATAATATTTACTTGCGAAAAACCGGCCAGATTTTTTAGTTGCTTTGAGAATATTTAAGTTTATGTATGTTTCCTTGTTTATCCGCAAAATAATAAGTTCATTATTTTATCGTAAATTTTAAAATACTTTGTTTTACGGACTTACATGGAAATATACATAAACTGGAATGTTCTTAAACATCTTTGAGCGGAAAAATAAAAATAAAAATATTCGCAAACACAAAAAACCTGCCAAATCTACAAACAACTAATTCTATTAGTTCAAAAAATAATAGCCGCCTTTTCGAGAGTATTCAAAAAATACTTACCGATGTTCTAGAGTATTCTGTTGAAATATTTAAAAAAATTGTATTATTTGAGTTTTGTTATGTTTTCGTTGAGATTTCTAGCATTAACTGTTTTAATATCAAACAAACTATTATTTTAATACTATGGCTCATCCTCGGAGCCACATCTACAAAGCTATAAATGTTTTAAACTAACATTATTTTTTTACAAAAATAATTGTTTTAAATTTATATTTTTTAACTTGTCAACGTTTTGTAAATATATTACAGATTTTATTAGTATATTCTTATTTTTTATATATAAGGGATGCATTTTTTATGTATGTAATGTCTTTTTATATATGAAATGTATTTTTATGTATGTAATGTATTTTTATGTATGTATTTTTATGTATGTAATTTTATGTATGTAATTTTATGTATGTGTATTTTATTCAAATGTAATCTTTTAAAGCAATTTTTGCGATTGATTTTGTAAACAAAAATACTTTCAATAATAACTGCGTTTTCAATGAAATTATTAATAATCATCAAAGTTAATACAAATATTTTTAACCACTAATTTTTTTTCCTCAGTGTACCCAATAATTTATTCTTTCCCCCAAGAAAGAAAAGTTTAAGAGTTCTTAGAAATTGGTTCACTAACTTCAATTATTTTTGCTTCAGCCATTCTTACAAACTCGTTATACTTAAACTTAAAGTTACTTTTTTCTGTTTTAAATACTAATTAAAATTATAAAGCCCACTCACTAAACATCATGAAAATTGCTGAAGATGATGCTTATAAAAAGCTTTTTATTTTTTATATTGTTTTTTATTTGTTACATCATTCTTTTGTCAACAAATGTTTGAATTAGTATCACGCTTATGAAACTACTTCAACAAAGTAGATTTTTATACTTCCAAACTTCTTGCATATTGTTTGCGTCAGATTTTTTTTTTAACTTTTTAAAGTAAAAAAAAAATAATACGCAACTTCTTATTGACTTAGTATTAAAGTATAATTTTAGTTTTTTGCTTATGTTTTTTTGATATATGTATTTAAAAATGTAGTAAACTTAATTAATGCTGTAAACTTAATGTAAACTTATAGTAAAAAATGCAGTAAACTTAATTAACGACTAATGGTTTTTATATTTTTTGATATTTTTTATTCAAATTAATTATTAATTATTTATTTTTTCCATCGGTTGATGTAACACATCGCTCATTTGAGGGTTTCTTGCTCTCACACCTTATTGCAGTAAGGTGAGAAGCTGTTTCAAAATGCCTTTGAATTGTGTGGATCAACACAAAGTTCGTCCCATAGATAAACCGTAAAGCACATTGTCATATCAAACCTTTACAACTTTGTAATACCGCTTCTCTATTTCTTGTACAAACTTTGCAGTAAATTTCAATAACGTATGTAGTTCCATTGGTAATTTCAGTTCTAAAGCCTATTGCCTCTTCAACTTTCTATTTAATAAATGTTGACATCATTACTTTGTTTCCTTTTGAAATGTCCTTGATTGCGAACATTCTAAACAACAGAATCGTTTTAAATTTGAGTTAAAATAAATAATAGTTAATAACAAACCAATACTATGAACAAAAACTAATTTTAAAAATTACTCTATTAATATTTATTTTTATTATAAACGATGTGTGGAATATTACAAACAATAAATCAAATAAATCTTACTTGATATTTTCACAAGAATAAAAATATTCTGCAGTTTCAATTTTCTTATAAAGGTTTTCTAATTTTCTATTCTTATTTTATATGCGCATTTTTATATTCGCATTGCGTTTCCATGCGCATATTCCATTATTGAAGCTAGTGACTCTTAACGACTTCAAACTGCTCATTTATTACGTTTGTGCAAAAGAGCATGATGTAGTGCTTTTTATATTTTATATCAGTACTTCGATAATATAATATCTTACTAAAAATTCTTTTTTTAATATTTTATGAAAATAAAAAAATAACTTATTCTTTTTTTTGTCCCGAACTCTTGGACGAGCGTTAATTTATACCCTCGTTATAAGCTGAACGAGCGTTGTTTATCGCGTCTAGATTGTTTAAAAATACCGTTTAGGTTTTACGAGCGGAGCGCAATCGCGCTTACTTCATCACAAACCCTGTTATATATAAATCATCAGGCTTTAGTTTTATTGGTTGAATCTTGTTGGACTTTTCAGGGCCGGGGGCTGCATTATTTTGGTGGCCTTTTTTATGTTCCACAGCATAAAAATGACTAAAAAAAATACCGAATGGTCCTCTTGACTATTTCGCGGTCCCTAACATTGTTAATCCTGGGGCTATAGCCCTTTTATCCACCTCCTTAATCCAGCACTGGAAATAAGACATAAGTATATAAAAAAAAATTATATATACTCATTGATAAATCGAAGAACATTTGTTTCCTTATTAAACAATCATTAATAGTAAGTTGTTACTTTATATAAAAAATGTTGCTTAATTTTAATTAAAAAAAAAAATGATAAAAGAGCAACGTTTCAAAGATATTTGCTCTAATCGTATTTATTTTGCTAAAAGTTTTTTTGCGTTAAAAGCTATTTTTCTTTTTTTAACCGTCTCTCATCAATCCAGTTAATCTAATTGCGCTTTTTCGTTTGTTTTTGAAATGTTCTCAAAATGACAAAAAAATCTGGCCGGTTTTACGCAACTAAATATTATTTCCATGGTCAATTATCGAGTGCGATCGCACCCGATACAAGCCTGATTTTAAGTTATTTTATTTTAAAATAATTTTAATTTTTTAGAAAAGTAATTTTAATTTTTGGAGTAATTTTGATATATTAAAAGATAAAAAATGTTTTCAGCATTTATTTCTTTTTATAATTAATTGCTTTTTAGAGTCATTTGTTATCAAAGAGGAAATAGTTCCAAAAATGAATACATTTTTACAAACATTGAGAATGCTTCCAAAAGAATATGAAATATCATTTGAAGTTTATTTAACTTTGTTTTATAATAGCATAATATCAAGCTTGCTTCAGTTTACAATAGGAGATAAATCTCTTGCCTTTTTTGTTAGAACTGAAAAATTGGAAGTTTGTTCAGCTTTCAATGATAGTTCAATTTATTGTGTACTTTCTCAACCATTAAAACTTTTTGATTGGAATAAAGTAACAGTAAGTCAATTTTCATTTCTAGGAAATTACCATTGCACTGTAAAAATCAATAATAAAACTATAGCAACAGTAATAAACATTGGCGCACAAGTATTTGAAAATGTTAAAATTTATGCCAGCAATAACTGGCATGCTTCTCAACCAGCTTACATAAAAAAACTTATTGTTACAAACGCATGTGCAGGTAAATACTTTCTTTTCATTTTTTAAACCACAATTATTATTTATTAATAAAACTATATTCAAAATCTGTTCTTGATTTTTTCACTGCCAAATAAAAATCTGCAAATTTTTTAGATAAAAATGAGCTGTATTTTTGTTTACCTTTTTTATCTCAGTATGATTGGACGATTTTAATATGATTTTTCTCAAAGACCACTAAACCGATTGTTATGATTTTCTTTTTATAATGATGTTTTTATTTCAACAAAAATAAATTAAACCTAAACTTTGCAATGTGCAAGTAATTGTTAAGTACCCACCATCATCTCCGCAACCACTTTTGTTAAGTACCCACCATCATCTCCGCAATTTTACTTTGCGCCACTTTTTTTGTAGCATTAATCCATAAATCTTGGAAATTTTTTTTGATAACTTGCTGCTGAGGACAGTTTTGATGGGTTAGCATCCTTTGGAACAAAATTGCCTCTATTTTTCTTATACCATTCCATTACTTTTTTGGAATAGTGGACTAATGCCAGATTTGGCCAAAATAAGGTTGATTATATGTTCTTTTTACTTAGAGGGAGAAGTTGTTTTTTCAAGCATTCACTCCCATATAGATTTGGTGTCAAAGATTGATTTATTACGAAAGGAGAGCTTTTAAAACCTTACTTGCAAATAGCCTGCCTTGCAAGGAATTTGAAAGTGATTTTCTTACTCAAATGTACTTAAGTTTGTCAGAAGCTTTATAAAGTTTGGACTGATAAAATTATTGATTTCATGGAAGCATCAAGTGATCTTTTTTACAGTAAGTTACATCGTTTTCTAAAATGCATATATATTTTTTTGTAATTAATTTAAGCAAATTTGCTCATCCAACTGCTTTGATTTCTCCATCAAGCGACCTTTTTATGTAATTTTTTTTTGGAATATGCTTTCAGATATTCTTTTTTGAATACTCTTTATGAATACTCTGAACAGAAGCTTTATTGCATTTAAACTTTGTAGCTAAATCTTGTTGGATTTTGTTGGAATTCGGATTTTGAAGTCGGATTTTGATGAATTGAGTCGACTATTGATTTTGTCTTTTTTTTGGAAATAAATCTTGATTTTCCACCACTTCCTGATTTTTTTTTTTGCAGTTTTGCTTTTTTTATAACATTTTATAATAATTACAACAGTTGATTTTGGAACTTTACATGCTTTTGAAATCATGGAATATGAGAACAATGGATTTTCTATGTATAATTTCAAATTTTTCTATCGATTTTCAGACTCTTTATTCATTGCAAAAACTAATGAGGAGTAATCAAAACTACACTCACACACAAGAAAACTAATTATGTTAGCATCATTAATTATGTTAATTATGTTAGCATCATTATAAAAAAAAATCATAACAATTGACTTTGAGAAAACTCAATTTAAAATTGTCCAAATTTCAACCGATTATGATGATACATAAACAATGGACATACCAACTGTATATTATGTCTTATAATATCTTTTTAAATATAACAAAAATCAAATACATTTATATTAAGCGGTTCTCGATAATAAATATTAAAGTTTCATATACAAGTCTCTGTGTTCTTTTATTTTTTATTAACTTCATTTATAATTTTTATTGTATTTTAATAATTTATCTGAAGAGCTTTATGGCTTATTTATTTATGTTCATTAAATTCTATTAGGATATTGAGAGTAAATACTTTCTTTATTTTATTTTATTTTTTGAACAAATTTTTGTGCAAGTCAGCACAATTCCAATGCATATAAAAATTAGTTTTTATAATTTTTTGTTGAAACAATTATTGTAGTATGTATATAAGGTTATTGTTTATGTTTTCTAACTAATACTTTAATGTAGCAGTTATTTTTATTTCAACTTATTAAAATAGATGTAGTTCATTATTTTTGATTAATCATCATTATTATTGATTAGACCAATTAAATTTCAAGTTATAAAAATTGAATAAAAATAATATAAAAATGTGTAGTTAAAATTCAATTAATAAATCTTTTCAGATATGGATTAATTTTTTCTTTATTTAAATTAACATTATTTTTAAAAAAATTCTTAGTTACTGATTTGTACTGCAAACCTCTATTGAATGTAACATTAAATGGTACAGTATTCAAGTAAGTTAAATTATTTTTAGAAGTAAAAATAAAAATAAAACTTAATAAAAAATAAATTTTATTAGTAATATCATTTTGTTATCTTTTTTATTCATATTATATATTTTATTACATTTTTCAAACCAAAATAAATATTTTTTTGTCAGAAACTTCTGGAATCTTGAGCTTAAAGTAAGCTATGCTTATGAACCTGGTGAGCTAGCTGTAAATATTACTTGGATATACTTTTTACCTTTGTATTTAAAATTAGAATTTGAATCAACATCAGAGGATTGCATAAAAGTTAATTCTAATTATCTTCAATATATGGTATAACTTTTGTTACCAAATTCAAGTTTATATTTTCAAATGTATTTTTTTCATAGTTAACCCTATTCATACTGGGTTGTTGAAGTCTAGTTAATACTGTTAGGTTTTGAGAGTAGTAAGCATAAATATTTCAGAGCAACAAACCTCCTGAAGTTGAAATTTTTAAATTAAGTTTTAATTAAGATAGTTTTAGGATATAACTGTTGGTTTTAGAAAGATTTCCATGGCTACATAGTCACTAATACAGCACCTTATAATGGTATCCATAACAGATTGTGAATTTACCAATTTTTAAAGGACAGAACATATATGTTCTTTTGCTTGCACAATTTATTCTTGGTATATTTGTATTGAAACTTTACCTATTTCAATGTTTCCTTTAAAAAAAAAGGTAAATAAAATAATAGACAGCGAATAAATATTGAAATAGATAGGCGTGTTTAAGAAAATTTAATTAATAAAAGTTAGACTATAAACTATTATATTTTTGCAGAATTTTTCAAAATAGTAAGTGTGCTGTAGACAGACAATGATGAATAACAGTTTTTTAGTCATGTTTGAAAACATATTGAAAAAATGATGGAAACTTGTGGTGTAAGCATTTTCAAAAGGTTCCAAAAAATTTTATTAAGCTCAAGAAAAATGACCACAGTGTAAAACACAGTATGAATAGACTTTATATATACTTTAGTTTATACTTTTTAAAGGAATTTTTTTTACAAAAAGGCTTTTAAATGTGTTAATATATTAAATAAATTAAATTCAATAAAGCTAATTTAAACTAATTTTTAATTGTTATTTAGATCCCTAACAGCTTAAAAAGCATTGGATTTATTCAAAGTATTAATACAACATTTCTTGATAATAGTTGTGAATTTGGTACACACCTCATTGAAATCCCGGTAGAGTTTGAATTCAAAAATTCATATGGAGTTTCTTGGACATCATTCCATTCAGTGAAGAATAACATAGCTGAATTTTGCAAAAGGCTTTCATGGAAAAAATCTTTTAAAGATATCCGCCTAAATGGTTAGCAATTAATTTCAAACTTAATAAAAATGCCATAAAAAATGAGTATAAAAAAACATTAAAAAGATATTGTTATTCTTTATACATATATGAATTTAAAGGGCTTAAAAACTCATGAACTTATTTTTTTCTTATTTGTGATCTAAAAACCTTTTAAAATAATAAATATATTTTTATTTATCATTTTTAATGTAATTTATGCAGATAATTTTGATTATTATTATTTGATATTTATCATTTGCTATTTAAAACATTAAGTTCAATAATTTTTCTTCTTTTTTAAAAAAAAGTGCTTTCTCTGATCAATTAAAACTTGCAAAAATAATTCCTGCATATTAAAGCAGATAGGAACCATCAAAAGCTAACTAGTGACCAATTGCCATACTTTTTTCTAGATTGTAGAAAATGTTATTGTATAATAACCTTTACAATTATCATAAAAAATACTATTCTTTATTATAAACAGTTTTGTTTTTGAATCACCATTCAATGGAGTATCCATCCCCGCAAGCATGTTTTTGTTGGACCAATTTGTTTGGCTCAATACCATTGTGCTGTGCTGTTACTGCTGCCTTTTACATAGCAATCAAATGGTCTTTCAAGTTTTTATGTAGTGTCAGCCTTTATTGCATATTTGACCAGAGATGTAGTTAAAACAGTAAAGGCCAAGATCAATTCTAAGACATTTGGGTTTAAGACCATGACCAAGACTAAATGCTTTAAGACCAAAACCAAGACATCATAGAGTCAACCCAAGACCAAGATCAAAGATTTATTATAATAATAATAAAAAATAAAATAAATATAAATAGATAAATAATAAAATAATAAATGTAACAACATAATATAATTATGTTGTTGTATTTTCTTTCAACCATGCTTCTTCATATACCATATGTGCTTAATGCAGTTGAAATAATTTTATCATGAATGCGCAAGTGGATTTCTTGAAAGAGTCATGTCACTACCAGCAATGTCACCATTTTTTTTCAACTGTTCTTGTATCTGCTTCTCAATTACTTGTGTTATAGGTGCCAATAAATCTAGAGTGGCTTGTGACTTTGCTATAATGTTCAAAACTTCTGCTGTTATGAGAGCTGAGAAGACAAAATTGTAAAGCCTAAAAATAACAAAGTGAACCGTAATTAAAACTGACAAACTTTGAGAGAATTATTAGAATTTAATTATTTTAATCTACAAACCATTATTAACTTTTTATCTATTCAACAACTATTCAATAGTTCAATCAAAACACTATAAATAAAACTTTTTATATATACAAACTTTTTCTATTAACAAAATTTTTTTTATTTACTCAAATTTGTTGTTAATTTATTAACAACAAATTTGTGGCCTCAGCAAATAGCTGAGAGAACTCTACAATTCCATGCTGCATCACCATCTATTGTTGTGTTAAGATAAGAATACTATGGTCTACGTTGAGCAAGTTCAAATGTTTTACAGAATCCAATCTGATGATGCTAAACAGCTGAATATACATACTGTTCCATCTTGTAGCCTTGGTTTTTGGTGTCAAGCTTTCTTTTCCAAAGTTCAAGTCAAAATTTCCATGAAAAAGGGTGTTTTTAACTTGTTAAATTTTCCAGCTTTATATAAATAGATAACAGTTTATTAGCATTTAGCTAATAAACTGTTATCTATTTTCAGACAATTTAATTAATCTTTAACAAAGAGCTGCAATGAATACACACAGCACCCCAATCTTTCAGTTACTTGTTGCCCAATACCTTTGTTCCCAATGAGTTGATCTTCTTTATGCAGACCTTTCCACATAGCTTCATTATCGCAGAAAAAGTTATATGCGGTAGTGGTGTAGTGGTAGAGCGCTCGCTTCATAAACAAGTGGTTCCGAGTTCGATCCCCACCACGTCCCTGGTAGTACCGCGCTCAAATTGTTTCTCTGCGCAGCGGCCTTGTTCGTCAAGGTTCGTGTTTCGGAGTTATAGAGTTGAGAGAGGGTTATAGCCACAAAATAAGTAGCCTCCTCGTCTGCCTTCTCGGCCTTGAGGAGGTGAAGTATAATAAAAGTATAGTAAAAAAAAAAAAAACTATAACAATATGATTCTCCTTCACTCTTATTTACCTGTAACTCACTGAGCATCAAAATCTTTTTTCATATTAAAGGCATTATCAGCTGCAACATATTCTAGTTTTATTTTGATGTTATCTAGTTGATCTGCAATGACTGGCCGGTATGTCTTCTTTTGACTGGATAAAAATTTTTTTGGACTTACCATCAAAAAAATTGTGCCTCTTATAATGATGCATATTTTTATCAGTCCAGTCAACAGTCATGGCTAAATGTCCAATGACTGGATTTGTTTTAAAATGAATTCTCCTTTTTTGTTTACAGCCTCTAGTATTAATTGAGATGTTAGCTGGCTTTGTGATGGAAGTACAGGTTTCCTATTTATGCCACAGATAAATTTCTGAAAAATTGAATTCTGGACAAGAGATAATGGAAGTAAGCAACCAACAATAAGGTTTACAATTAAGGAGTCTGTAATCTTAATCTGGCCAGAATATTGATATCTATACACATTTTTCTGTTTTTTTGAAGAATTTATCAATATTTGTTTGTGATTAAAAACCTTTGTCTAATAGTATTCCTTTTTTCTGAAAATAAAAATCAGATTAATGCAGATTAATATGTTCTAGAAATGAAAATCTATTATTAAATGCAACCATATTCCTTTTTACCTAACTCTATTTTTAGAAACTGTGCAGAATTTCCGATAAAACAAAATAAAATAAAAAAAGATATGTTATAAATATGGTATTTGTATAAACAATCCCTAAGTAAAAAAAATGGATATTGAGAGAAAATTAAAATTAAAATGCCTTTAAATTATAAATTAATTATAAAATCAATATTAAAATCTTTTTTGGCAGAATTGTGTCTGACTTTTTCCATCTTCTGTTTGTCTGAGGTTTCTTGTGGAACTGAGGTTTCTTGTGGTGAATCTGAGGTTTCTTGTGGAACAATCACTTTTGCACAAGCTTTTTCATCTTTATGGAGAAAGGTATGATTTAGTACAGGTTTTATAGGTAATTGTTTAAAAGGTAAATTGGTTATCTTAAGAAATTAAGAAAAAAATTTGGTTTAGTTTTTTTTAGTTTATTATGTTTTTTTTAATTTAAAAAAATTAAATTCTTCAGTATTTTAATTTTCTGTAGAATTAAAAAAAAGAATGTTAAACAATAGAATTATTTGTGCTATGCCTGATGAAAATGCTGTGCTTTGAACAGGTTTTTTCTTTAATTCTAATTAACTCAACAAAGCTGCAAGCAACCACTATTATGTTGGGAGTTACTAGAAAACAAGGAATAGAGTTAAAGAAGTAAGAAAATGGTTAGCAGAAGACTTGAAAAGTTGTAGATTGTATGAATCAAAAAAACATGAAGATGGTAGAGAGTTTTAAAGGGTTATAGTGTGGGTAAACAAACTAGACAAATAAAGGTTATTAGAACATGCAGGTACAGATACAGTAAAAGGGTGTGACTTTGCTGATGGCGAGTCAAGCGAGAATGAGTTTTGGTTGATGGAACTAGAGATGATAGCTTCTTTGAGCAGCGACTAAGATAGTATTTGTAAAAAAAGGGATGCCATTCATTAATATGTGAATGTTGACAGTATATAAGTTGATAGTTGTTTTTTTCATTCTATGCAATGAGCATTCAAGTCATTAATAACAGCAACGTTGACAGAAGGGTAGAGAGTCAATTTGGGCAAAGGGCATGGTCAATTTGATTAGAAGTTACATCTAAAATAGTGCAGTCTTGAGAGGAATGAGAACAATGAAGAGCAAAGCGAAAGGTGATAAAGTGAAGTGGTGCATACATAAGTACATAAAAGAGTGTCAGAGGATTCAAACCTGATTTCTCATATTTGCGAATCGATGCATAAGTATATGCTAAGCATATGATAATTAGATTTATTACAAATGAAAAGAATACGGGCATCTGAAAAAGAAACAGTTGAATTTAAATTAATTTTTGCAAGATAAAGCACGATATACCAAGCAATGAGCTACGCAGTAGTTGTCCTACTAGTTAACCAAAATTCATAATTTAGGGCTTGACAATTCACACCAAAAGCATTAACAATAACACCATCTATGCACAACATGGCCTAAACCTTCGTTAAAAGTAACAGGAAGAATTGCATAGCCATTATCAAAGGGGCTCAATCAAAATTTTATGGGTAGAGTCAACATTCATCATCCTAGGTAGGAAAAAATGTAACACAGGTTTTTATATATGTCAGCCTAATAGATGAAGAAGGAGTTTAAGGTAGAAATAATTCTGGTCAACAGAATAATTCAGCCTTCTATAAGACAGTAGCTGGATGCAGTTAACTTCTGCCCAGGATAAGTATTTTTATCGAGACAATATCTCTAGCTTTTATTCAACCAAGAGCCAGAGGTTTAGACAAAACACAAACATATATATATGTAGTAAATTACTGGTGAGCTAACACAGTAACTCTCACTCCAACTATATAAAAGACAAATACTATGAACGTTATAACTACTAGGTTGTTGTTATATTTCTTTTTTTCTTTTTTGTCAATATTTTATTCACATGTTAATGCTTTTTAAAAATTGATAAGCATTGGGATGAAAAAGTTGAAACGAAAACTTGATGATAAAGATCATAACATTTAAAAAAAAAAAGGGAAAAAGAATTTCTTTATTGGTTGTTTATTTACTTTAAAGATGGTTAATCAGAAGTAAATAAAATTATCTGGATAACAAAGGTCATTAAATGAAAATTTAAAAATTGAAATTAAAACAGATTCTATTACACATTTCAATGTGTTTAATCATTTAATTCTATAAAAATTTCTGACAAATACTTATCTTGTAATTACAGATTATTGTCTGGCACCTCTTTGTCCTTGCTTTTTACCCATAATGCATCACTACATAATAATTGACAAAATAATTATTTAAAACTTTAAAACCAAGATTTATAATAGCAAGAATGAACTTTTTTGATAAAACTTTGAACAAAATGAGATTTTTGGTTGCAGTTTTGTGAGTTTTTTTATTACTTTTTGTTTTTGATGATTAAAATTATGATTTATGACATGATGTACTAAAAAGTCTTTAAAATCCTAAAACAAGTTGAAATTAAAGTTTGAATCTATTTTAAATTTGAATGCATTTTAAATAGAAATAACTTGAATATGTTTTAAGCATTCGTCGTGGTAACATATAACTCTGGTAACATGTAACTCTGGTAACATGTAATCTGTTACTGGATAGTAGGGTTTTTAGATTTTAAAATACATTGAGGCACATTTTGGTGAATTTTTTTCAATTTTTTTTTTTTAAATCAACTAACTACACAAAGAGGCAATGATTCACCATTATTACATTAAAATACTCAAAATATTTTTTGTTGCTTCCATCGTACTGGCTTTTCACTCAACCCTACAGGCTTATTTAGTTAGAGAATTAAACAAAAATATTAGAAACATTGTATAATCAAATCAGGTCTTTAGTTTTGTTTGAATCCATTTTAGTTATTTTAAATTTAAAAATATAAAAAATAAAATTTAAAAGTTATACATAGATTTAATTTTTAAAAAAGGCACACGTTATTAAAATTGATTTTTTTTTTAATTTAACCTTCAAGTTCTCATTTATTTATTACCTTTATGTTGTTATATATATATATATATATATATATATATATATATATATATATATATATATATATATATATATTTATATTTTACAACTTTTAACTTGTGGTTTTTCAATTTTATCTTCACTAACTATTATGCTTTAGAATATTATGGCCGTGGTATATATTGGGATTATGTGAGTTTTCACCTTTATCTTTGTATAAACCAGCAGGTTACAAGGTAATTACCTTTTAGCATACTGGCCAATTTTACCAATTATACTAATACCAATTTTTTAATAATAATGTTTCTAAACCATTAAAAAGTATTCATAAAAAAAAGAATTTTCTTAACTTAAAACTTAAAATCAATGTATCTGGATCCAATATTAAACATTATTTTTATATATTATATTAGAAACATATTATATTACATATTTTGGCTTTACATATTATTTTAAAAACTTTTTACATATTGAGGTCCTTCAAAGTACAAACCAATTAGATAAGTAAATAATACAAAACTTATATTGAGAAAATCAGGTAGCTTATGGTCAAACTCAAACAAACATTCTCTATGTCATGGATTAAAGCTAATCCATAACATAGAGACTAGAATAAAGCAATCAATAACATTTCATAACATTGAAGTTTCTCCAATTTCTAGTTCAATCCAAAAAAGAGGAGAGAAAAGTATGCTAAAGTATATAAACATCCTTATCCATATTATCATCTTTTTTTTTTTTTTCTTTCAATTCTGATTTACTCCCAACAAGGCTGCAAGCAACTAGTATTAAGTTGGGAGTTAATAGAAAAAAAGAATAGAGTTATAGAGCATGGTTGACAGAAGACTTAAAAAGTTGAAGGTTATATAAGTCAGGGAAACATGAAGATGGGAGAATAATAGTTTATAGAGCATGCAGGTACATTTGCAGTAAAAGAATGAGACTTTGATGAATGACGAATCAAGAGAGAATGAGTTTTGGTTGATGGAACTAGAGATAAAAGCTCCTTTGAGCAGCGGCCATGATAGTATTTGTAGAACAGAGAAAGAGATGCAACTTAACGACAATGGGAAAGAGGCTCTAGCTTAGCAGATAGACCCGGTCCAACTATATTTACAATGTGTTTTTGGGCTTGATCTACAATATAGAGCTTGATAACTATATTTAGAAAATAAATTATGATACCAAACCACCTAATAATAAGTCTCCTATTTCTAAATCTTTTCAACGCAATATTTATAAAGCAGAATTTTAAACTTTTTACTTTCAGTTAATACAGTACTAAACTTAAATAAACATATTTCATACCAAAATCCAACATCAGATAAACAAAAAAATTTTTTTTCAGATTTATCTTAAATGGTAATGTAGCTCTGTAAAAGTTAAAAATTACTTCACTCACGCTTGATGTTAGAGGACCATCTTTAATTTGTGCTTATAAAGCACAATATAATGAAAAATTTAACTTTATGATAGCAAACATGGTTTAGTTATAAACACATCAATACCATTGGTATTGATGTGTTTGATACCATTACCATTGGTCTAATTGGTATATAATAAAAACCAGCTGGGGCAACTAATTTTTTATTTCCTGACTGGGTGATTGTATCAGACAAATTGCTATATCAAAATAAACTTTCATCAGAAACCTGAACCTGGTGGTTATATTCTTGCTGACTGAGTGCTGATTCTTATCACTTATTGTTGTTATTTGATAATTATTGTGTTTTTTTATGTAAAACATTATGATTGTATCTTGAGGTTATATATTTATTAATTTGCTGAATAAAGCCTTCTATACCAGCTTGAGTTTTAATTTACTATTATTAATTCACTACACCAGGATTCTATATTAAAAATGCTATTGGGACAACATTTAAAATCATAGCTTTTACAAAAGACTACAATTAACTGGATGCAAAATCCAGCTTTCTAATGTTCCTATACATAATGTTCATGAATGGAGGATTTTGATGCATCTTATTCTCTAACTTACAATAAACTCTAGGTTTTCTGTTAATTATATGAATGTGAGGATCACTCAATTTGTTAGATGATACGATGTTGAATATGAATGAATTAGATCATTTGAATATGAGTTTAGTTTTCATGTTCATTTTCTATAACTTTTCCTTTAAACTTTAACATAGAAAGCCACAACAAATTTCACATCAAAAACTTTCTTCAAAAGTGCTCTCATTGAATAATGATTGTTATTATGAGACTTTAAAATAACATTTTTTGCTATTTTAAGGTCTTTATCATTTGCTGCTAACTTTCATTTTTTGTTGATTTGTTACTACTTCTTGTTACAATTTGCAATATTAGGTGTCTCAAACCATCCTCCAACCTCTAACCACTGTACTTCGGTTTACTACTTAAAAAAATTTCAATTATATTGTTGTTTGTTAAATTTCAAAAGATTTTAAAAGCAATATAATTTGAAAAAGCTTATAAGAATTTTTTGTTGTTGTTTTAAAAGATCAATCTGAGTTTAAAATTTGCAGAATAATATAAAATGTATACATAAAAAGAAGACAATATTTTATTCAAGTATATAAAAGAAATGCCAAAAACACTTATAAAGTGTATTTATATTATGAGCTTATGAATGTATACTAGTAAAGTTTTAATATTTTCTGCCTACAAGTATGCGCACTTGTTTACAAGAAGATGTGACGTTGCACGGAAAGTCATCTATTGGCCAAACCATTTTGTCCAGGACAAGGTTTGATAAAAGAAATTCAGGGAGGAGGGGGGTAAGTACTTCTTAAATAAAAATTTAGTACAAGAAAATATTTCAATAGTAGTACAAAAAATAAAGTTTTACAATTTATTCAACCTTTATCATTTGGTCCCATTAAATCAGGGTAGGCAAAAAACTGGATCCAGGATTTTTTTGTATTGGAGATTAGTAACTTCCAGGTAAGGTAATGTTTATGTTTATGTTTTTATGTTTATGTTTTTTATGTTTTTTTTATGTATGTTTGTGTTCTGTCTGAACTTCTGGCGCGGTGTTCGCTCACCCGTAAGTTACTTTATGTTTTTTTATGTATGATTGTGTTCTGTCTGAACCTCTGGCGCAGTGTTGACTCACCCGTAAGTTGATTTATGTTTGTTTGTGTTCTGTTTATACTCTAATGCAGCATGAGCTCAGTAACTAACTACTTACTCCAACTACAAAACCTGCACTCACCTTAGACTCCTGTATTTTATTAGATGCAGTGTTTTTCCTAATGCACTTCCAAAATATCATGCCTGGTTTTACTACTACCCTAAAGCTGACTGGGATTCCTTTCGTGATTTTCTTCGTGATGGTCCTTGGGCTGATGTTTTTTCTCTCTCAGCTGACAAATGCGCCTCCTATGTAACCTCCTGGATTCAGGCTAGAATGGAAGCTTTTATTCCTTCTCGTCGGTTTCAAGTCAAGCCTCATTCTACTCCATGGTTTTCTCCTTCTTGTGCGGCTGCTATATCCAATCGTAATCATTTTTTTCATCTTTTTCAAAAGAACAACTCTCTTGAGAACAAAGGGCTATTTATTATTGCAAGAAATCAATGTAAAAAGGTGCTTTCTGATGCTAAACTCCATTATTCTCAGTTCACTAAATCTCGCATCTTATCGCAGAGAGCTCTAAAGACTTTTGGAAAATCTTCAACAGCATTATTAACAAGGGTAGATCTAACATTACATCTCTCATTCATGGGACTGATCTTATTACCTCTCCCAAGGATAAGGCAGAACTATTTGCAAAGAACTTTTCTTCTAATTCCACCCTTGAATCTTATGGACATTCTCTTCCTTCCATTCCAGTCAAACAGGTTGACCCATTGTTAGACATTCAAATCACTCCGGCTTCTGTTGCTAAAGTCATATCTCAATTAAACTCGTCTACAGCTTGTGGTCCAGACAACATTCCTGTCACAGTCTTGCAGAATTGTTCTCCAGAACTTTCTTCAATTCTCTCTAAACTATTTAACAAGTGTTTGACTGAGTCTTGTTTTCCTGCTTGTTGGAAAATGGCATCTGTGGTTCCAATATTCAAAAACTCTGGAGAAAATTCTGACCCCTCCAATTATCGTCCAATCAGTCTTCTTTCTGTTATTAGCAAGGTCTTTGAGTCTTTGATCAACAAATTCCTCACATCTCATCTTGAGTCAAATAAACTGCTGTCAGACAATCAATACGGTTTTCGATCCTCTCGCTCTACGGCTGACTTGCTAACTGCTGTAACTGAAAGATTTTATCGTGCATTAGATGGAGGCGGTGAGGCTAGGGCTATTGCTCTCGACATATCTAAAGCTTTCTACAAAGTTTGGCATGCTGGTCTTCTCCATAAGCTTGCTTCATATGGTGTTTCTGGGAAAGTTTTTGAGATTATCAAATCATTTCTTTCAGACCGGTTTACTAAAGTCATCCTTGAAGGCCAACACTCTTCTTTATTTCCAGTAACTTCTGGGGTTCCCCAAGGTTCCATCCTGGGCCCTGTTTTGTTTCTTATCTACATAAACGATCTCCATGACAACCTTTCATCTAAAGTAGCTCTTTTTGCTGATGACTCAACTTTATACTCCTGTCTTGACAAAAAGTCTTCTCTTTTCGATCGCCTAGAACAAGCAGCTGATCTTGAATCTGATCTCACTTCAGTAATAGATTGGGGTTCACAGTGGCTTGTGAATTTCAACTCTAAAAAAACCCAATTGCTTACTGCAAACAACTACCGTAGTATGGTCAACATTCCTATATTAATGAATGGCTATCCTCTTACTGAGTCCTCCTCTTTACGTCTTCTTGGATTATCGCTTACTACTGACCTTTCATGGAAACCATATATACAATCGATTGCTAAATTAGCTTCTGCTAAGGTTGCTTCTCTTTATCGTGCTCGCCATTTTCTTACTTCTGATTCCATTCTCTACCTCTACAAATCTCTTAATCGTCCCTGTATGAAATACTGTTGTCATATTTGGGCTGGTTCTTCTAACGATTCACTTTCTCTTCTTGACAAGGTCCAAAAATGCATTGTAAATGCTGTTGGACCTGGACTATCTGCTAAGCTTGAGCCTCTTTCCCATCATTGTAATGTTGCATCTCTTTCTCTTTTCTACAAATACTATCATGGTCACTGCTCAAAGGAGTTATCATCTCTAGTTCCATCAACTAAAATTCATTCTCGTTTTACTCGTCATTCAGCTAAGTCTCATTTGTTTACTGTATCTGTCCCTGCATGCT